GATTTAATGGATCACATCAACTCAATTGTCACTTATATAAATTATTGAATTTCCGTTATTGTTGTGCACGTACTAATCGTGCAGTAACAAATGAGTATCACGGTCGAAAAGAAGCATATTGGAATTTAAAGAAAATTTTAAATAAAAAAAATGAAAAAATGAATTTTGATTATTCCCGATTTAAGTCTGAATGTGGAATTATCGGATTTGATTTATCTCCTAATCAAGATAGTTTCTGGAAGTTTTATCAATGTGAGAACACAGGGATTTTGGATTTGATATTAATTTAAAATCAGCATTAACTGAAGCATACTACGATGATATTTTTGAGAATTTAGAAATCAAATGAATTATGGATATAAAATCCCCTATATATTTTGAATATCGATTTTAATTTTGCTATTATTGTTGTGTATTCAACATGAGAAGAACAAAAAAATTATATAAATTAAAGAGAAAGAAAAAATTTAAAAAAGAAAACTTTAAACGTAATTGATATTGATTTTCCATTAAAAAAAACAAATTATATAATGTTGATCCAGTAATAAACCCAATTATTTTATAATGGATGATAAAGAAAATGTAAAATGAATGGGGAAAATATATATGGGAAAAATGAAGATAATAAAGAAAATGTGGAAAAAATTGTTAAAGAGGAAGAGAATTAAGAAAGAAAAAAATAAAGTTGATGAAGAATAATTTGATTCTGATGATGATGATGAATATGGATTTCGATGATAACGATGATAAATGATGATGAAGATGATGATGATGAAGAAAATATTTTAAATGAAGAGGTTTTAAAAGCAATTGTCAAATTAATGAATTTTCAAAACAAAAAGAAAAAGTGAAAAAAAATAATATTATTCCAAGTTTGAAATTATTTATTAATTCTAGAGTAGAAAATAGAATAAAATTAATTAAAAATAAGAATATATTTAAAATTTGATTTTATATTTTAAAAAATACTTAAAATGATAAAATAATTTTGTATGAAGAAATAAATCCATTTCATAAGAAAATAAGCAGAAGTTTTAAAACAAAAACATAGTGGGATGATATAAAACATTTATTATGTGAAGATGTTCAAACGGGGTAACTTATTAGAAGATGCTTATAACATAATTAAAAATAATGGTAAATGATAGTGTTGAGAAATTTGGTCTTGTTGACACAAGTCAAATAAATAAATTATTAGCAGAATTGAAGAGAAGATGTGAGGAAGATGATTTAATTAATGAGATAACTAATAATGCAAAAAGACATGAAGTAATAAAAGCATATGTATATTAAAAAAAGAAAGGAAAAGTAAAAGAAAAGGAAATTTAATTAATTTTTTGAATGAAGCAAGTGATTTAAGACGAGCTGAAAACGTGGACGTTGTAGATACAGATGATATAATGGATGATGGCGATACTTTAAATATAGATGGTGGGGGTACCCCTAAAAACACCAATAATAGTAAGGGGTCAAAAGCACAACATCACAATTTAATTTCAGATTTTTAATAATCAAGGCATAAACAAAAAGACTTAAAATAAATGGGAAGAAATTTAATTTTACCTACTTTGATTTAGTAAATGATTTAATATCTAATAGAAAACATTAAATCTCAAAGAACATGAATTAAGATCTATTTTACCTGGAAATAAAAAGAAAAGGAATGCCAGTTCATATATTAAAATAATAAAATTAAGGAGATGTATATAAATTCTGATGCAAGCAACACTAGAAGACGAAGTTCATAAATAATTTCCATTTTATCTACTCCTCCATCACCATTATCTCCTGCTTCAACATCGCCATCTAAGCACATATACCACCATTAAATTCCTGGAACCGTCTCTTTAAATTTAGCTCCCGATGAAAAACATTAGAAAATCAAAAATTGATAAAAATGGCGGAAGTTTTTAACAACTGATAATTTAATAAATTTGGGTGTAATAATAAAATTATAAAAAAAATTCAAAGGGTTTCTCCAGCTGATTATTACCCGAAAATAGATTTTAAAGAAGGTGGATGGATATGAAATACAGATACTAGTGATAAACCAGGTCAACATTGGGTAGCAGCGTGGAAAAATGGGAAAAATTTATATTTTTTCGATAGTTTTGGATTAACTCCAGAATATTATAAAAATAAAGGATGGAAAAAATTTGCAAATGATAAAAAATTAAATTTTGAAATATTTTCTTATAAAAGACGTCAAAATATTAATACAACAACTTGTGGGGTTTGGTGTTTGTTTTTTTTGTTACAAAAATGTTTAAAAATGAATATTTTAAATGTAATTAATCCTAATTCGACTTTAGAAAATGATAAAAAATTGTTAAGTTTATCTAAAATGTTTTTTCCAAGAATTAAAAAAGTGTATGCACGAAAATGTAAAATGAGAAGAAAAATACTCAAATATGTTGTAGTTATAAAAATATATTTAAAAAATAAAATTATATTGTTGTCATTTTATCAGGAATTACATCAATATCTTCGGATACATAACCATTTCTAATACATAATTTCCAAAACTTTTCAACAAACTCTTTCATAACATAAAGTTCATCAATTGTATAATCATTGAAATCGGGATGCATCATGAATACTCTGATAAATAGCGAGAATACAACTTCATCCAATGTAAAACGTACTTTTCGTAATCGTTCTTGTAAAATACTATGACAACTATCACTTTCTTTTTTCTTCTCTTCAAAATCTTTATATGAAACACGAAGTTCGGTAATTTTAAATCAGGCTTGCTTAGAACTTTAGAAAAAT